TGTCTGGGAAGGAGAAGTTGAAATCTGATGAAATGGCAAGGTGGATAAAGTACACTATGATCAGGAAATGAAGGATTATGGACCAGCCAAAGAAGGCAAGAAGAAAAAGGACTCTAATGCACCCAAAAGGCCACCATCTGGATTCTTCCTGTTCTTTTCAGAATTTCACCCCAAGATCAAATCCAGCAACCATGGCATCTCTATCAGAGACGTGGCAAAGACACTGGGTGAGATGTGGAACAACTTAAGTGACAGCAAGAAGCAGTCTTACATCACCAAGCCCGCAAAGCTGAAGGAGAGGGATGAGAAGGATGTGACCGACTTTAAGTCTAAAGGCAAGTTCAATGGCACAAAGGGTCTGGCCAAAGTTGCCCGGAAAAAACTGGAAGAGGATGATGAAAAAGACAAGAAGGAGGAGGAATTAAAAACTGTTGGTCTGTAAAAAAAAAAAAAATCTACTTTGTCCACCATCCACCACAATAAGGGCAAGCCAATGTGGATTCAGGGTGCGAATCCTTTCCTGAAGACTTCTAGGGAGCCTGGGGAACCCAAGGAATGGGCGACCTGCAAAGGCTGTTCCATAGAAAGGCCCATGGCTGGGCTGGGCCAGGCAGAAAGGTTATCACACCTGATTATTCCACACCCTCTGAGTTACTTGTCTCCCTGAAAGGCCATTGGCATCATAGGAATTCTGCCTTTTTACTTAGTTCTGGTGGTTCCCAATTAAGCAAAGACATTTCTGACAGTTGGAGGATCTAAAAGTGTCTATGATCTCCCTTAGGAATGGCTGTCAGACAGGACTTGGCAGTTTCAGGAGCTACCCTCTTAGATAAGGGTTCCGAAGAAGATAATGCCTCTTCTTTTCAAATTGGCTGATCTATTGCAGAAATGCAAAACTATCTGATTTCAACATCATTTATAAGTAATCGCTCTGTTCTTCTCTCCTTAGAGAATTATTTTTTTCTCTGAACATTTAGACATGTTACTCTAATCCACCTTGTTAATAGTTTCTGATTAATGTTACTTGGGACAAGATGAAACCTTTTCATTTCTAATCTCATTTATTGTCTCAGTCCTGCAAAGCTATGCTTTCCCTTTACTGTATTGATTGTTTTGGTCACAGACAAGCTGCCTGTCACACAAACAACAGCCCCAGAGTCAATGCTGCTATTTTCTTCCTGAACCACTGTAAGATGTTCTATTCCATGTCACATCTTTACTTTCTGAGGATGAAATTAAAAAGTAACAAAAAGTTACAGAGAATAGTTAGCAAGATCACAGATGGACCTATCTCTTGGTGAAAAAAAAAATCACTAAGAAAAGACAGTGTTCTCCTACTAAAAAATTCCATTTAAAAAAAGCACAGGATTTTGTGCCATTTCTTATAGGTAAAGTTGTATATGTAAATTTGTGTGTGTACATATGTTTGTATCTATACATTATGTACAAGCAGTAGGGATAGATTTCTTAACAATGCATTTAATTTTCTACTGAGTTGTGCTCTGAGTAGTATAAAATAGCACCTAGTCAGAGGAGTAAGGATATAGTTTATAAAACAAAGCACCTTGATACCTTATGTCATGTTCAAGAGAGTCCGATCATTAGGATCCTGGCTGAGACACCTGCACAGGTAGTTAAGGAGGAAGTAGCCTGGATGAGGAGAGGGGACTCACTGTGGGCCCAAGGTGCCCATGGGACCTGGAGGAAGGACTGGACTCCTTTATGATAAAAGGCATGTATGAGGATATTTCCAAAAGTTCATGTAAAAAAATAGAATTAACCTCAAGTTTAGGACCGGCTGTTGCCTAGTGATTAAGGGAACCATCCCGCATAGCTGACTGCAGTTCGAATCCTCAGCGCTGGTGGCTTGAAAAACACACAAGGCATGTGTGCTTACTTACCCCAAATGCTGATAGGAGGAAGAAATGGAGGAGAAGGGATTGTGGTGTGATGTGGTATGACTACACTTCATGGTGGTGGGTAGCTTTCACCCTGTCTCTCTCTCTCTGTTTCTCTGTCTCTCTCTGGTGAGCATATACACCCTCTGGCAGGTTTTTTTCTTAAAGTCTGATTATATTTGGTGCAAAATGATAATATATGGAAATCCATGCATAGTTTTATTTTGTACTATGCATTTCCGATATAGCATTGAAAACCCCTTGTATTTGTCAGGAAATTGGCTGAGCTCAGGGGTAGATGACCAGAGGCTCTCCAGCTCAGGTGCATAATAGAATCACCTGCAGGCTTGTTCAAATGCTGCACCCCAACCCCAGCATTTCTGACTCAGCAGATTCAGGATGGGGTTCCAGAATTCCCATTTCTAACTGTTTCCAGGGTGATGTTGATGCAGCTAAGTAGGGCCATGTCAAGAGAACTGCAGAATACTGTGTAGAGCTTGAACTCAGGCTTTGACTTTTATGAAACCAACAGCATTCAATTTCCATTTAAAAAATTGGCAGGAAACCAAGACTTATATGAAGAATCAGCTCACAGCTTGCAGAATGATGTGGTCTACGGGAAGTAAGAGGCAAAATGTTCCCCACACCCCAGCATGGACGCTGGCTATGTCCAGGAGTATAATAAGAGACAAGGAATTGCACTTGGGGGTGACATCTGTGCCCCAGAGCAACTGGCACTCCCTGAAAGACTTGCCATCAGCAGCCAGTGGTGCAGATGGTCATGAAAAGACAAAGCCAGGGAGCCACTTCCTGGGGGCAGAGCCTGCTCTGCATGTCCCAGTCACTGCAGCCAACCCATCAGTTAGAAGAGTGAGGTACAAGACTCATTGCCCCGTCAGCCTAGGGTACATGGACTGTGGTGTACCGGGCTGTGCTGAAGGGGGTAGAAGCAAGGACTTGCCTCCCTCCTTCAGGGATGGGGAGTCACAGGTCCTGCCTGCAGCAGTTAACACAACCTCTCCTGTCAGGTCTCTGCAAAGCAAGGTGATCACTTCTGGAGATCAAATGCACAGCATGGTGATGATAACGATACTGCACTGCACACTTTTAATTTGCTAAGAGGCTAGATCTTAAATTAACTCTGCTCACCGCCCTCTCAATGGTAACTATGTAGAGGTAATGGATGTGTTAATTAGCTTGATTGTGGTGATCATTTCACAATATATGTATATATCAAAACATCAAATTATACAGCTTAAATATACACACTTTTTATTTGTCAATGATATCTCAATAAAGCTGTTAAAAATAAATCTACAAGTCAAAAAATAAAGCAAATGCCTTTGTGAATGTAGGGAGACAAACATCTTCTCCCTAGGGAGCCTTAATGAAGAGTTGTGCTACCATAGCCTCCGTTATCCCCAGAGCACAGGCTGCTGTGGCAGTCAAACCCAGGAGGGTCCCTTCTGTCCCCAGATAATCCCTCTACCTGGGCTTCTACCTCACAGAGACAGAGCTTCATTTATCATCCTGTTTTCTCCTCTCTTGATGACATTTAACCCTTCAGGGGCTCCCTTCTTGTAGCATACAGAGATATTAAGATGGCTCTTGTTTTCAAAATAAAATTAAAAATAAATAAACAAATAAAAGCTCAATTTTCTCCAGGCATGGCTTCCTTTAGCTATTTCTCTCCCAGCCAAATACCTGAACAAGTTACCTGGTCTTGGATATTCTTCCCCACCATTTAGTCACCAACTCATTCGTATCTGACTTGTCTATCTCCATTGTTTCTACTTATGGTAGGTTTCCAAGGCAGTCATTCAATTACAATCTAACAAATTCCTTTTGAGCCATGGATCAGGCCTGTTTCTACATGTATGAGATGCAAAGATGAATAAAATAAAGATCTGTGCCCAGAAAGCTTGTGTCTGATGAAGGAAAGAGAAATAACAATGAAATCCATAAAAATAAGAGGATCCTATGGTATGTGAGAAGTGGATGTTGCTAAGGAAAAAAAAAAATGCAGAAAGGTATAAGGAGGAATGTGGGCAGGGCTGAGATTCAAGATGCAGTCTGGGTCCAGTTCTCTTCCTTCAATTAAATTCAAAAAGGATGAATGACAAATATATTAGCTCTGATCATGGGCTTCTGAATTGCTGGGCTTTACAAAGAAATCCTAGGTAAATTCTATTGTGTAAAGAGCCTAGCTTGGAAGTGAAAATACAGGAGGGAGTTTGCAGTCTTCAAAAGGATTTTTTGCTGAAGGCCGGCTAGAGTGATCAGGCATCACCTAGGGGATGGTGGAAGATGAAGAACCTGAACAGAGATGGAGATGGTGTGGGGAGCAGCGAGGCTTCTGCTGAAATGACTTAGCATAGTTCTTTACTGAAACCAGATTTTACAAGAAAGTATAAGACGAGCCTGCGACAAGGTTCAGGAGCCTGAATAAAGTTTGGTCAAGCAAAACATCTTTGTCACCCGCTACTAAAGGAGGTTCCCTTTCACTGGGATTTGTCTATCTTAACTCTAAAATGAAGAGGTTGGAATGCTCCAGTGGTTTCCATTTTTTTTAACAGTAGAATTATTTTTTCAAACAAAATGTTTAGCATAACTCAATATATAAAATCTACCACAGTGAAACTGATCTGGGCTGGCCTAGCCACAGGCCTATTCTGCTCCTTTCTTGTTCTCCTCCCTAGAAGCATTTCTAAGAAAAGTGGGGGCCTCCAGGAACATGGTGTTATCACCTTACGAAACATCAAAATGCATAAGATGGAAAAATTTGCTTAAGGAGACCATTTAGTTTTAAGAAAATTCAAGGAAAGAACAAAACTGGAGTAGGAATCAAACTCTCTGGTTAATGTCCAGGGTGAGATGCAAGGCATGAAACAACTCCATCAACCTTTAGAGAAGGGAAAGCCTAGGTTTCCCCAATTTAAAGAGTGGTGACAGTCACTTTCTAACATTCTCTCAGGAATGAGGGCAGGTAGAGAATGTGTCATTCATCAGCTATAAGAAGCTTTAAACACACCTCAGGGATGACAATGCAGCACTGCTCAAAAATGTGAATAAAGCCAGAGGAAACAATGCCATGTCACAAACCTTGATTCCAAGTTCAATATTTTCTCCTCCATATACATCCATCCCAGGATCTAAGAGCCCGATCTCACCAAAGAACTTCCTGTTGACCACGAATGAGCAGCCAATCATGGCCGGTGTCCTGTGGGAGAGAGAGAGAGAAGTTAAGCTCACTCAGGCATGGCTGTAACAGGAGCGGGGTTCCAATCTGGCCAATCAAGTCACTTCACCAAACGGCCTCAATCTCCATACTCCTTCTCGCTTTAGGACTACCTTTTAGCTTCAGATAAACAAGGAAACCTGACGTGCCCAGGGTAATCTGGATCCCTTACAGAACAGATGAGGACTGGTCTCATGCATAGGTAGTGTCTGTACACATGGGAAATGATTCCTACTCTACTCTGGGAACAGCTGAGTGACAGCATAGGGGTCTACAGACAGTCTCAGTAAAGCCCAGAGGTGAGGAGCAAGATGCATCTTATACCAGGAAGGAGGTCTTTAAAAACCCAGGAGTGTAAAGGGAAAGTTCAAAAGCAAGGGGTCCAAGCTCCACGTAATGGTGGGACAAAGCGGATCCGGTGCTGGTCTTTAGGGAAGGAAGAAAATTCAGAGAGGAAACCACTGCTGCCCAAAGATCTCAACAATAATACATAAATGTGTGTGTGTGTATGAAATAATAATTTTTGTTTCCAGACTTTATGGGCACTCTATAGATACTATGTCATTTCTTTTTGCTCAGTGTCCCCTCTGGATGCTGAAGTTTTATATATACACACACATATATACATACACACACACACACATATATATATATATATATATACACATACACACACACACACATATATATATATATATATATACACATACACACACACACACATATATATATATATATATATACACATACACACACACACACATATATATATATATATATATACACATACACACACACACACATATATATATATATATATATACACATACACACACACACACATATATATATATATATATATACACATACACACACACACACATATATATATATATATATATACACATACACACACACACACATATATATATATATATATATACACATACACACACACACACATATATATATATATATATATACACATACACACACACACACATATATATATATATATATATACACATACACACACACACACATATATATATATATATATATACACATACACACACACACACATATATATATATATATATATACACATACACACACACACACATATATATATATATATATATACACATACACACACACACACATATATATATATATATATATACACATACACACACACACACATATATATATATATATATATACACATACACACACACACACATATATATATATATATATATACACATACACACACACACACATATATATATATATATATATACACATACACACACACACACATATATATATATATATATATACACATACACACACACACACATATATATATATATATATATACACATACACACACACACACATATATATATATATATATATACACATACACACACACACACATATATATATATATATATATACACATACACACACACACACATATATATATATATATACATACATGCACACACACACATATATATGCACACACACACATATACACACACACATATATAAAACCTCAGCATCCAGAGGGGACACTGAGCAGAAAGAGATGACATAGTATCTATAGAATGGCCACAAAGTCTGGAAAAAAATTATTATTATTTCATACATATATATGTATTAAAATTGGGATCTTTGGGAAGCAGTGGTCTCCTCTCTGTATATTCTTCCTTCCCTAAAGACCAGCACCTGATCCACTTTGTCCCACCATTACATAGACCCTTTGCTTTTGAACTTTCCCTCCACACTCCTGGCTTTTTAAAGATGCACACACACACACACACACACACACGTATTGTCCTTCTTGATTATTTTGTCTGCATAGTCTAAAGGCACAAGTGGAGTCAATGAAAATCCAAGACAAAAAACATCTGAGGCATCATGCTCTTGTGGATACATGCACAGGACTTGATATTACTGCCCCATGTTCACGCAGTTTTGTATGTAATGTGGACCTATGCATTGCTAATGAGGAGCAAAGCACTGACTCATACTATATATTGTATTAGATTATATTGGATTGTGTATTGTACCATGGTATCAATAAACCATTTAGTACTTAGTTAAGCCTGTTTTCAAACTTTATAGGTGTCCCTATATAATAAATTTATCCAGCAAATATTTCCTTAGCTTCTGCCATGTCTAAGGCATCTTGTTGGTGCTGTAGGGAATAGAGAAACACAAGACGTGCTTCCTGCATTCAAGGAACTAGGAGCAAATATCATAATAATATAATTATTATTAGCACAACCATTTGTTGAGTAATTACCATTTAAGCATAAGGTGCAAAGCACTTTCCATGCACTGTCTCACGGAACCACCTCGACAACCCTATGTAGGAGGGGAACAATTTCCACTTAATGCTTGAGGCACACAGAGATTAAGTGACCTGCCTTGAGTCATGGAATAGAACTCAGGGTCTGTCTAACTTATAAGACCCTGATTTTCACCCTCATGCTTTAAGGCTTCATGGGGAAGATGGCAAACTCCCATACAGTCAAAGGCCAGAAATACCATTAGGATGCTTTCCTGGACAAAAGGGACATCTCATACAGGAGCTCCATTGAAACTCCACTAGGGCCACTGGGAAGCTATTAGGCAGAACTCTCTCTTAAGCTGAAGTTTGGACCATAGTCTCAGACCCTCATCTGCTCACCCTGATCGCTAAGTTGGCTCTGATCTTAATGTCCAGGCTGCTGACTCCATAGAATACCTGTGGGTACCCATGTGGTAAGGCAGCAGCGTGCATACCAGGGAGCACAATGTTCAGAGCCACACAAAGGCGCTGCCACCAAAAACTGTGTTAAATGAAGGAGTCACTTTAGATCCCAGTCAAATCTCGACAGAGTACTGTTGTGTGGCTTAACCAAGAGAAGATATGTGACGTGACCAGTACATGGACTGGGTGCTCAATATGTTATATACCTTTGTCTTTATGTTGTGAAGCCCCATGTTTTCCCAGGACTCTCACACCTGTGGTGCCTATGTACATGAAGCCTGCTATTGGTGCAGCTGTGCCACCCCTGACTATACCTAGGTTAGCGATGGCTCCACCATCAGCCATTTCTCCCACCTTGACCCCTAGCCTCCAATAGCACTAGATGAGCCCACTCCTGCTCTCAGTTAATCAAGCAAGGAATGAGCACTGATACCAAACCAGGTCAATCAAATTATGTTTTTCCAGAAGCTGGAGTCAAGAAAGTGCTGGGAGCTGGGACTAGAGGATCTCACATATCTAGGGCTCAGGCTGCCATAGTGGAGAAGCTCTGATGGGCCCCATGCACCTGATGATTGGGCAGAGGGGAGAGGTGGGCCATAGTGGTAAATAAAACCATATGGGCATGTAGAGGTACCACCTGGAGACCCTGGTTTTACATCTGCTAAGAGCCCTAGCTCTGCTCTTTGGCCTTAGGTTATAGGAGGATCCTGTGCATCTTTGCAATTAGTTCTCCTTGATTTAGTATTAGATAGATTTCTGTTCTTTGCAACCAAATGGAGACAATGACATATCCTACTTATCCAGAACAAAAACTTCATTACACAGAGATAAACTACAGGGAAGATTCCGTCTGGAAGATCTAAAACCAGGGTACACCTGAGTGATGGGGGCATGCTAGTGACACTCATGCTTAGTGACATGAGGAGCACCCTGGGCACACAGGAGTCTGCGGAGAAGAAGGAAAGCAGCCCTGATGTTAACTCCATTTTCTAGACAGCAAATGTGAGTACATCAATAAATTCTAATCAGTTAGAACAATCTCTCCAAAGCCTATGCTTAGAGAGTCTGAAAAGGGCCAATGTTTACAAGCCTGTAAAAACTAGATCCTGCTCCAAAATTCTGCTTTCTGATTCTTCCAAGGGAAGCAGAGCAGTTAAAATCACAGGGAGCCATCAGAAAACAAACACTCTCAAAGGGGTGGCTTTGCAGGCAATCCTGTAGGTGAAAAAAAATATTTTTCAGGGACTGGTCGAGGGTCCTTCTGCATCAGTATCACCCAATAGCTCCTGAGAAAACAGATTCTGAGCCATATGGTGGTTCAGTGGTAATGCAGCACCCCGCCATGCTAGGTTAATGTAGGAAGGTCCCAGGTTTTGTTCTGAGATCTCTGTACATGCCAAGGGCACATATGTACTCATGATCCAGGCTGGCTGGGGCTGGGGGTGGATCATGGCATGAAAATTCTGTTGGAGGTGCCTCTTCTCTCTGTTTTTGGAATCAATAAGTTGACAAAGTCTTTAAAAAAAACAGAGATTCCTGGGTCTAGCCCAGAACTATGGAATTCAATGTACAGAGATGAGACTCAGGTCCTGTATTTGTATCAGCAGGACCATTCCAGGGAGCCATCTCCACCCTTTCTTCCCCAGACTGTCAGGCCCCTGAAAGCAGAGAAGCAAACCCTGTAGTTTCTTGTTGCATTCCCAGAAGGCAGTACCTCACCCCATACCTTGATAAAGGGAGCAGACATCCACTAAATACCACTGGATAAACAACTGAATATACAGATTTGGGGAGGACCGCTGCTGGGGAAGGGTTCCTGGATGCCTCTGGGACCAATAGGACAGTGAGGAAGGAGTGTAATCCAGCTAGGGTTGGAAGGAAGGAGAGGAGAGAGGGAGAAGGAAGGAGAAGACAAAGCTAGAAAGAGGAATAGGAGTGGAAGGGTCTGAAGTCCATCACTTCCATGGTCAGCAGAGTAGCAAGCTCCTTCCCCCTTCCAAATCCTTCTCACGTTGTTCCTTAGATAAGGTTTTCCCTGTTAAGCAGCCTGGTATTTTAATATAACTTGGTCTTAGCCGGGTAATACTTGCAGTTGTGTGTGGTAAGGACAGAAATGACACAGTATGGCTTGCCCTTGGTCCCCTCTCTCCTGCTTCCAGCTCTGCTCGGCATCTTCCACCAGGCTCTTTAGCAGATGTTCTCAGATTTCTCACAA